AACGCTCCTAAAAATATACATCCATGCTTTTGAGTCCTGCTCAAAATAGAAGACCTCAAAATAGACGAAGGTTGAAATGTCCTGGAAAAGGAGGACGCTTGGTCCCTCTGTGGCTTCAGCCTGCAATCCTCCAAATTTCTCTGGGAGGAAGCCAAATCGCTCGAGCTTGGGGAGCTGCTTACTCCCGAGGAGACCCTGCCTCCAAGGTGCTGACTGCCTTCTCTTTCGGATCGGACCCGCATCTCTGTGCCCGTGTGGAGCTCCGCATCCGCATCTGCCCCTCTAATCTCTCTCTCTCTCTCTCCTCCTCCTTCTTGGGTTAATTTTATTAGGAGGGCAGGATTTTACCAACTGCTGCGGTAACAAGCTGTTTGCCTAGCAATTAGAGCGAGGTGGTGGCATTTCTGGAACACATTTATCATCCTAATTAGAAAGGTGATTGCAGAAAGGTTGAGGGAGACAGAAAGAGAAAGTCGACTGAGGGATTGCTAAGGCTCCCCAAGTCTCGAGGAAGGCCAGACAGTGGCACACACACACACACACACACCGTTCAGTTTTAGGAAGGAGGGACTCCCCTCTTAAGGACCCTGGACTTTTGTCACTTTGGAGCCTGGCCTACACAGACCTGGCTCAAGTCCAAGCATCTCTAGTGCGAGTCTAACCCGACACTAAATAAGTGTCTGAGGAATGCATCTGAGGAAGTAGACTGAAGTCTAGGAAAGCTCATGCTGCCGACTTCTTTCTTTCAAGGAGTCTCAAAGGTGCTGCAAGATCTCTGTAAAGACTGGCACGGCAATATCTTTGAATTCTACTAAAAAGGTGTGTTATTCAGCTACGGAGGAAGATTTCAGCATTGAAACCTCCTCAGATAGATAGACAGGCTTTCCTGCATGCAAATATCCCATTTGCTTCTAACTGAATCACAAGGTAATGAATATCTCTGTAGCTTAATAAACAAACCATGGGATTCGGCTAACTTCCTTTTAGGAACTTTTTCTCACAAAAAGAGATTCTCCTGCTCCATTCACCCCCCCCCCAAAAAAACCCTTCCCTCTCTCTCATCTTTTCAGACACAAATATTTATTTTCTTTAACCTAACCCATTCATTAGCTTTAGTTAGGATGTAGCTCCTATGCATATGTAGAGTCAAGCCATTAGTACATTTTTTTTTGTTTAAATTGCTAGCTACTTGTGTTTGTTGTTTTTGAGTCAGTTCTCAGAGAAGCCTCCTTAGACAGGGACACGTTTTGCTATTCTGCTGATTTAAAACTAGACCCTAAGAGGCTTGGCTTTTATATTTTTGATGTTTAAATATTTTTGCTTCCTAGACAAAGAGTGGAGCCTTAGGAAACTTGAATTGCCTACAAGCAATAGGTCCTCCAGAGGTTAGCACACTTGCCTTAAATAAATGAAAAAATTAAGTGCAGTCCCTAAACTTGTCAAAAGTCCCCAAATTTTACTTCTGGCTAGGAAGGCTGACGTTTGTAGGAGTGAAGCTGAACGGGTCAGAAGCGATTTGAATCTAGGAAGCATGGCTTAATCGCCTTGAGAATCACAAAGGGTACCTATTGGGGGGGGGCAAGACCACTGTGTTCCCAATCTAAGCATTTAGGGGCACCGTCCTTACTTGAAGGAAGGATATTTTTTGCAAGCCAATGTTAACTGAACCGCAGAATGGAAACTAAGGGTGCAATCCTATACATAGGGACAGATAAGGATGTCCCATTGAATTGAATGGCCCTCACTGTCAGGGAGGTGGAGATGGGGGTTGCAGTCCTAAAAATGCACACCAAAGCCTCGATGGCAGGGTGACCAGAGGTCCTAACTGCAAAGGAGACCTCCAAAATAGAGGACATTTAAGAAAAATTGAGGACATGGTCAAAGAAATGCTCGAACCACTAATAGAAATATCCATGAATGCTTCTTCGTTATTGTTGGAAAATCATTGCTTTCTCTCTCCCTCTCCTCAGATAAGATAGGATTTTCCCTGCATGCAACCTCCACTGTCTTCCCTCTTTAAAACATCCCATTTTGGTTCTTGCTGAATCCCAGGGGCAATAAATACCTTTGTAACTTGGCAAACAAATCACTTGATTCAGCTCACTTCCTTTAGGAAGTTTTCTCAAACAAAGAGAATTCTCCTGCTTCGATCCAGGTCTCCCATCTCCCTATTCTCTCAATTTTCTTCAGAAAAATGGTGAGATAAAGATTTCTTCTTTTACCTGTACTATTCATTAGCCAGGTTAGGATGTAGCCTCCATGTATATGCAGATTCAAGCCATTGGTAAAATTTTGTTTTTAAACTACAAGCTATTTGTGTTGTCTTTGAGTCAGCCTCAGTTTTTAAGGAAGCCCAATTAGGCAGGACACGTTTGTGATGCTCTGCTGATTTAAAAAACTACTAGACCCTAACAGGCTTAGCTTTGATATTTTGGATATTCTGATACTTTTGTTTCTTTAAAAAGAGGCTGAAGCCTTAGGGAACTTGAATCCCCAACAGTTATGCTCGGAATGGAGGACGTTTTGGAACTTCTCCTGGTTGGAAAAGTTTAAAATGTAGGACAGGTCCTGGAAAAGGAGGGCGCCTCGTCGCCCTGCTCGATGGGTAAAATAGGGAACCAGTTGTTTGGGAGAGTTACTGAGAAAGGCTTCCCAAGTTCTCTCCTCTAGGGGCAAACCTTTCAGCGCCCCCCCTGCATTTGGGATCTTCCACCCCACATGCTCCCCCCTCCTGTCACCCCCATTGGTCGCACCCAGGATCCCTAAGGCCAACTTCCACTGATGCAGGTACAGCCCCACTTTGTGTCCCTTACACACTTTACCGCGACTAAAAATATAAAATAACATTTTAAAAAATCCGATCCGGATTAGCCACAACCAGGACCAAGAACCGGAGCGGTCCCCACTCCTCTAATAACAAAAGTAGAAGTAAGTAGCATATAGTGGTTTGAAGGTTGGACTGTGAATCTGGAGACCAGGGTTCGATTCCCAGCTTGGCCATGAAACCCATTGGTGGCCTTGGGCAAGTCACACTCTCTCAGCCTCAGAAAGAAGGCAAACCTCCTCTGAACAAATCTTGCCAAGAAAGCCCCATGGTAGGGGTCTCCAGAGGTCAGAAACACTTGAAGGCACACACAACACACACACAACTTCTGCATCTCTTCTTCCTCCCTGTTTATCTCCCCCCCCCC